TGTGATCTATGATGCTCCTCTGAATCCTCACTCATGTGTCTCTTCTCAGTTCTGTTTTAACTGCAGGAAGCCTGGTCACGGGTTGGCAGACTGTCCAGAGGCTGACAGAGATGAGGAGATGGGCCGAGGCATCTGCTTCCGCTGTGGCTCCACTGAACATGAAATCTACAAATGCAAAGCTAAAGTGGACCCTGCTCTGGGTGAGGAATAAACACAGAGACTAACACCTGAACAGCTGTATCAGATTTGCCTGTAACACTGCTGTAACCATGCTGCTTCTCTCAGGTGATTACCCATATGCAAAGTGCTTTATCTGTGGTCAGACTGGACATCTGTCACGATCCTGCCCTGATAATCCCAAAGGACTTTACGCTCAAGGTAAAAAGACAGATATTCATACATCATGTCCTCGATGAGTAATTTCACACTCGCATGAGAGGGGATAGCTGGTTCCATGTTGGCAGTTTACTCAGTCTTTAAGCTACAATGGCAGGAGGTCTTCTTCTAACCTTTTAGCTCTCTGAGGTAGTTTTAATCAGAAAGGAGAACATTAGCATTCAAGTGTTTGTGTTTTAAAGCGCCTTGAGGCAACTGTTACTGTGATTTGGTCCTATATAAATAAAATTGACCCAGCATGTTTTTATGCATCCGGTTCCTAAATCTGTAAAGCAGACCTATTGTGCTCATTTCTAGTTTTATATTTGTATTTTTGGAAGCTAGCTTTGCACCATTGAATGTTTAAAATAACCCTTTACGATGACAGAACTGCATCTGCATCTTGTGTTTTGCAGGAGGTTGCTGTCATATTTGTGGCTCAGTGGAACATTTTCAGAAGGACTGTCCAGAGCACCAGACTCCAAGTGAGTACCTTTGGAATTAAACGTTTGCTTTTGGGATTTCAGTGCACCTGAAAAATGATCCATTTTAGATTAGTTTGCAAAATCACTCAGAAGTCTGATATTAATTAGAGAACATCTTTGGCTTAGGAAGCCTAAAAATGTAAAGGTCTGTAGGTCTATAACAGATGTGTTTCTAGCCTGTGGTGTGGTGGGTAGCTAGAAATAATGGGAAAGGATTTGGGCGGGGCATGGCTGATGTTTCTTTTTCTTTCCCTTTTCATATGCTTCCAGATAATCATGTGACAGTGGGCTGGTTGTCCAACAACATGAGTGCAGACCATGAGGAAGTGCACATTCCAGTAAAGAAAGCCAAACCCAAGCAGCCTAAAGTGGTGAAGTTCTAATCACAGAACTGAGCAGTGCTAATGTGTGTCCCTCGTTGTACTTCTCTGACCCACCTCAGCTTCTGGACTTCATAAATGGACAGGTTACCCACTATCAGGGAATGAAGTCTTGTATACCACTGTATATGAATGAGATCTTTTTAATAAAAAGTTTTCCACAGCTACTTTTGATATGCTATAGTTAAGAATTCTTGTTGCAGGAAGTAGTCATGAGTGGACACAGACTAAGGCCCCTGCAATTTCCCTCAGCATATGGATTGCCTGCTCAAACAGTGGATTGTAAATGAAACAATCAGGATGTGATTGAAGGGAATTTTTATTTCACCAAGAATTTTACAGTCATCCACTGGGTTGTCTTCAGTTGTCCAATTACTTTTGAGCCTCTGAAAATGACAGGGTGTATAAAAATGGCCTAAATGGCTTGTGCAATACCTTTGTTATTAAAGCTGTCATTAAATAAAAAGTCTTTGTACAGCGGCTGTTACTTAAGGACTGTATGTGTGGATGTGGACTCCACTTGCTGCATAATCAGCACATGTGTGGTTGTGATGCTTTGTGGAGCTGCAATGTGGAAGCACGGCCACTCAGAGGCAGTACTAAGTCTTTCTAAGCTTCTGTTATGGACCAGTTAAACTTTGGCCTGCAAAATGTAGAGAACTTATAGTCAGTAGGCTGCAGGCCTTCCTCTAAAAAATTGTGTCTTTGATTCTCACAGCGCTGAAAGTCCTGTTTTTATGTTTTGCATAAAAATCTGGTAAAGTGCCAACAACCAACATCTTTTTCTCTTTAAGGGGTGTTTTAAAGTTGCAAGGAAAATTTCCTTCTCATAGGCATAAGGGAATAATGTGATAATATTGCAGTGTGTTTTCAGTTTTCACAGCTCACCAGGGGGGCTTATATGACTGATCAATAAGAATGTCAGCAGTCCGACTTGATAATAAACTGAACCTCAAACATTATACACTGGCAGCTACAGAGAGGAGGCTCACAGGAAGCTTGAGGAATAACAGATCATTTTTTTGGACTTTACTCAAATGTTCACTCCAGACTTTTTCTTTCAAGATGAAGATAAATCTTTGTTTTCAGTGCAACAGCAAGGGCCTGTGTTGCACTGAAAACCTCCCCTGAGAGCACGAAGAAAAGAAATTACATCATTGATGATGCAAAAGGTTTCTTGGAAATCCAGTGCAGTCCTCGGCAGACAAAACTGCTTTAGTTGATGAGAAAAATAGTGGCTATCAATGCTGACCTGATGTACTGCTGGCCTAGAAAGATCTTTCTTCTTGAGTTTATTTATATTAAAAAGAAAACGCTTTACATATCAGAACATAATAATCATCTACTCAACAATGAATTACAGTAGTCCAGCCTGGAAGTAATAAATACATAAACTAGTTTTTCAACATCGGGATGTTTCTAATTTTAGAGATATTGTGCAAATGGAATAAAGCACTCCTACATATCTGTTTAATATGTGCATTGAAGGATATATCCTGGTCAAATACGAGCCCAAGAAAAACATCAGCAATCTAATTGCTCTGGAAAGAATTACAAAGCTCTATCTGAACAATCTAAAGTCCATCATTGTAGCCCAAGAAAAATTCTTCACGAGTGGAAAACAATTAAGACCCAAAGGTCTGACTGTGCAATGTTCAGAGAAACTGCAACAACCCTTCTTGATCTTGGACTCATTACAGTACAACTTGCAAAGGTTTGTGCGATTATGACTTCTAAAAGCAACATGTCAGCACAGAATCAGAATACTTCATTAATCCCTAAGGAAATTATGTAAAAGCACAGTGTAGCTTTGCAGAGCTGCATCTAAACAAAACATTAAAAACTTCTGGAACAATAAAACCAAAGAGATGTTTGTCCATAGTAACAGCAGCACGTTTGGAGTAATGGCACAAACACCTCAGACCAGCTGTGAACACAGTGGTGGAGGATGATTTGGGCACCTTGCAGTCACTGAGCGGAGCATGAACCAAAGTTTTCTAGAGTCAAATGTGAGGCCATCTGTATGAAACCTAAAGCCTGGATGAAACTGGGTCATCTACAGGGCAGTAAATGCAAGCACAGCAGCAAATCTACAAAAGAATAACTGAAAAAAGAAAGAATCAGTGCTGCAGTGGTCCAGTCAAAGTCCAGACCTCAAACACGCCTGAAATGCTGTGATGGGACCTTCATTGAGCTGTGTATGAACAAATGCCCACAAACCTCAATGAAATGAAGCAACACACTTACATTAACCCTTGTGTGGTGTTCGTATTTTTGTTACTCAGCCAGTGTTCATGGGTCTGGTGGACCCGCTAGAGTTTTGGCTTTCCAAATTAACACTATCAAACAATTTTATGTTAAATTACTCAACAGATGTTTACTTCATCCCAATTACAAGACATATGAACAGCAAACATGGTTAATTTTTTCCCTTTACCTTTGTTAGATCACATTTATGAATTAATGTGCTTCTCGTTTTTCTTTTATATAAAATGTTATAAATAAATCAGTTATAATCAAGTGGAGTGAGTGGAAAGACACAACACATTTACACGTGAAAAAATAATTAATTGTTTAATTTTTCTTTTGAAAAAAACTGAACACGGGTCTCACAGACCCGAACACCATACAAGGGTTAAGTAGTGGAGCACAATGATGACATCAACTCGTCCCCATGCAGTTCAGTTCAATATTATTCAAATAGCGCCAATTGATGACAACAGTTGCCTCAAGTCGTTTTATGTTGTAAAGACCCTACAGTAATACACTAATGCACGGTTGAATTGTGGCTCGTGTCTAAGATAATGCAACCACAGTCTTAAGTTCATATGCATTAGTCAGTTGTAACTGATCACAATTGTATGTTAAACTGATTTCATGAATTAGATCATAAAGTCCTCTGTTTCTCCATCTTCATCAGCCACATCTCTGCTTTACCTGGATGTGTTGTGTTCCTCTTCTTTCTCTGCCATTTCTCTCACCTATTCACAGCTATGGTTTTGGTTAAACCTGGATCATGCAGTCTGAGTTGGTCTCTCTCGCTGACAGTTAATAAATAATGGACTTTAATGCCTCTGTGGAACAGATTTGGCTGGTACTCCACATGTTGTTTATGTTAGGGTTAGGTTAACATCTTGGCTTCACTTCCAAAAGAGTTAATCAAAGAAAAGGTCTTACACAGGAAATTATGACAAATGTATATTTGTTTTATATGCTTGCATGTTAATGATGGTATATTTTTCACACAGTTGCTCATAGGAAGGATAGTTTCTGAAAATTGTGACACAGTAAATCACAGCAGAGTGAGTGGGGGAGAGTGGCTACCCTCATCAAGACCCCCCCCCCCCTCCCCCAAACACACACACACAGTCTGCACACAGCTGGATTCTTTCTCATGGAGGCAAAGTGAAACTGCAGCCAGACAGCTCCTGCACTGTGCCAGCTCGCAGCCCACAGTGGAGGATTACACAACTTACCAAAAAGTTTTCATCCACAGGAGAGTGTGCCTTATAACAAAAGCACAGAGGCTTCATTCTCTTATGTCTCCTGGTTCCAATTTCAGAGAAACTGACAGGGGGCCTTTCCTCCAAGTATTGTTTTTATGATTTTGAATTGCCCAACATCTTGCCTCAGTCCTGTTCTCCTCTGAGCATGCATACATACGTAAATCTTCAGAACCTTAAGGTCATATCCGTACCTACCATAATGATGGCACCATTAAAAGTAATCATACACTACTCTTTTCGATATATTAGCAACATGGCTCAAGCATCGATGGTACAAACAGCTATCAGATGCTAATGGCTTTTTGTACATTTTTTTTGTAGTTGTTTTGTGTTTCTTTGCTATAGTGCTGTGATATTTTGCACTCTGTACTTTTTATGCATTTCTTTGCTGTTGTATTCTTCCTCCTTTGAGTTTCTTTTTATCTATCTTTGTGTCTTATTTTATTTTTTCTGCCTCTTTTGTGTCTCTTTGGAGTCTTTCTGTCTGCTAATAATTGCGTGACTTTTTGATTTTGTGTCTCTTTGTAATCACTTTATATTTTTTTGTGCAGATTGAAGCCAGTGGTCCTTTTTGTCTTTCATTTTAAAGTTAATGCTAACCACTAACACTAACCGTGTTAGTGCAATTCTATGGATAAATGCACGTGAAATTTGTGCTGATTTTATAAGATGGTAAAAAAAAACATGGGCTAGTAATTATATAGCACTATTCTACTCTGAGTACTCAAAGCCTCATTCACCCAATGACTCACACATTCATACAATAACTTTTTTCTATACCTTGTCTGACATTCTCACACATTTAGACTCTGATGAATACTTCAGGGACAACTCAGGGTTCAGTATCTTGCCCAAGGACACTTTGACTTGTGAGGAGGAGGCGAGCCACTCTACTCCCACTCTTCCTTAAAATTGAGCTTTAAAACATGTGTTTACTGTTATTAATTTAACCCAACCTATGATCTGTTTCTGACCCAAGTCATGTTCTCCTTCTGTCTGCTCCTTCTAGCATAGAATCTACCTCCATCTCCCCCTATTCCAGCATAATGGCCTCCTTCACTACATCCATGAATCTTTTCTGTTTCTTTGTCTTTTTATGTCTCTCTAACTCTGTCTCCAAACTGCTAAATTGAGGCAGGCAGCCAGTGGAGTGAAGCTAGAACAGGGGTTATATGCTCTCTTTGAAGAGTTCCTGTTAAAAGTCATGCAGTATTTTGTCTCCAGAGGGTTTTGGAGTAGTCACCCAATGTGTTTGTTCAATATTCAGCTCTGTAGCCAAGTGAATCCCCATTGTGTCTTGTAGAAGCTTCTTCACAAAATCCCTCCATTCCTTCAGGAATAGTGAATATTCTTATTCTTTAAAGATCTCCCTTCTTGGTCAAGTAGTTGGTTTTCCTGATTTTTCATCATTTTTATTATCTTGTATAACTGTTCCACATTTTGAACAAAATCTTCCATCTTTTCAGTTCGTATCTCAGCCTCAGCTATTTGTCTGACTGATGTTAGTGAATCCTGATTGAAAACCATTTAGCTGTTATTTTTAAAGTTTTGTATCGACTCCAGTTAAACTTCCAGTTTCATTTACATTCATTTTAGTTTAATTTTCATTTACATTTGCCATCTTGTGCCATCGGTTCTTAGTGGTGCTTTTTTTTGTTTCTTCCCATTGTCACTCCTCTTATAAGTTCAAATATTAACCAAGAGTTTTGAGAACAGCGGTTTAACATGACAAAATATGTGGGATTGGTTACTTTATGCTTTTAATTAATAAAAACATATAACCTTATAATTAACATAATAATTAGTAGATGACCTGCTTAACCCCCTCAGATACAGACATCCCAAGTCTTAAAGACAAACTGGAGGACTTCTAATTCTCTAATGTTTAACGGACACAATAAGCACAGTTTTCTTTATAGTTAAATAATTTCAAGCGAATTGAAATGTAGACCTTACCACAAAACAGGGATTTAAGTTTGGTAAGCAGTTATTTCAAGAATAATGGCTTTGAGAGGCTGTCCTTTCACTGATGTTCTTTCTAGCACACAGAAGTACACACAGAAGCCCATAACAGCTGATTTTTTGTAGTGATTTACTAAAAGTATGATTAGAAGTTCAGAGATGTATGTATGACAGATTTGATTTGGAGTAACCTGTACAGTTTCAGTTCTGATCTTCACGTTCATAACTACATGAATGGGACTGTGCTAAAAAAAAAAAAAGACAAACATGGTTTCCAAACGGACAGGAAATGAGTGTATGCTAAATCCCTCCCAAAACACTGTCTAATTAAACTTTCATAGCTATAACAAGGTCAGACCCAAATGCTCTCGGTTTAGTATCAGCAAAAGGCTATCCATAAAGTTTTTCTTGCAGTTGGTAATTAAGTTCCTGTGGGACTAAGACTGTTCCAGTAGCAAACTACACAAGGTCAGACACAAATACATCTGAAGCCTCAGTGGGATCCATTGTTTTCTTTGCTTTTTTTATTACTTGGCTGCATTTCTTACCCTGAGGTGGAGCCTACTAATGTAACAGGTTCACTGTAACAGTAATCCCTTCCTGTTTATCTATTTGCATTTCCCACAAACCCTTCACACTACACACCCAAAATCACTGGGTTAAAAATGTTCCCAGTTTGGTTCACTGTTTACACACTTTTCTGACAGGATCAGATATAATTTCCTCTGTAACCCACTGTTGAATTGTTGGATGTTGTGAGTAATATATCCCAGAAAGTTGATTCTGTTCATCTGGATTTTGTGTTTTTAGTGGGAGAAACATTTCGTCACTCATTCAAGTGACTTCTTGTGTCAGTGCGCCCCAGGGTGGCTGTGGTTACAATGTAGCTTGCCATCACCAGTGTGTGAATGTGTGTGTGAATGTGTGGATGACTGGATGTGTAAAGTGCTTTGGTGTCCTTAGGGACTAATAAAGCGCTATACAAATACAGGCCATTCTTCACTCTCAGTTGACAGCAGGTTTCCCCAACCTAAACAGTACACTTGCATAATGACCAAAACTAGCATTACTGGCTAACAATGGGTCATGAACTCAGTTTCATAAACAGTAATATGCAAATTGTAATGGCCAATGATCAAGGGCCATGAGTACCACTCACTGAGAGTTGGAGAATGGCTGCAGTCACAGCATTTTAAGATGGTGAAAGGTGTACCCTTACCTTTACCCTGAGATTTGATTTTCACTCAGGTGTCATACACATCCTTGAACCAATGTGCTGAATCAGTGGTGTTCCAGGATAGGATAACAGAGCCCTCTCTTCCATTTCCTCTATATACAAATTGGTCACAGTGGGGGAAATTGGGGAACCAATGGCACACCCATGTTTCTGCCTATAGTACTGGTTCTTGTGTGTGAAATATGTGGCATGAAGACACTGGATAAGCTGAAGGAGGTTCTCTGCTTAGGCTACTAGCCTCCATGACCCAGTTGCAGATAAGTGGAAGAAAATGTATGCATGACATAACTGTTTATATCAAATGTGCAGTATTTTTTGGTAATAGTTTAATAAAACAGCTAGATATTCTAACTTGAGGTATATTATATAGCAAATGCAGAAAAAAATGTTTAAGAAAGTAAATAAGCAGGTGCTCTAAAGGATATGAATGTTTGCTTGCAGGACACCTGGAGAGATGTATATTTTTTTTTCTTTTTCTTGAGTCTTTAGTGATATTTTCGTAGTTTCCCATCATTCTTACCACACACACACACCCACACACACACACACACACACACACACACACACACACACACACACACACCTCATCTGTTTGGTTGCTGGATGTCGCTGGGTGATGACGTACATCCACGTTCCCGGTGCAGCTTGTCAACAAAAACCCAAAACAAATTGGCGGACGCATAAAGGTGCAGCTGAAGCGCTGAAGGTAGGGCATTAATAGATGTGCTGTTCTCATATAGATGTGAAGGAGCGCTTCTACCCTCGTGCTTGTGTTTACAAACAACCCGTGTCTCACTCTGAGCTGAGCTCGCTAGCACTTGCTAGCTGCTTGTTCTTGTCATGTTAGCATACAGTGCAGTCGCGGGATCTGTTCTCAGTGTAAATCTCAAGTTGCCGCCAGTCTTGGAAAAGCAAAGATCGCTGACGCGTTTTAATAGTTGAGACTGAGTTTCCTGCAAGAAGCACCAAGAAGTTTGTTTGATTCGGAAACAGACGTCCAACTGTGAGAAGGAGCGCATTTCTTTTAATCATTCATGGGACAGTTGTTTGGACATACATCCTAATACTTAGAGTGGACTGTGAGAAAACATTAAACGAACGGGATTTTAGTACATATATTAGTCTCCCAAATGTTGCTGCTCAGCACACTTGCTCTGTAACTAGAAATCCTGTTCAACAAAGTCTGAGTTTAAAATTAAACTCTGAGTTGATCACCTCTGAGATGGGCAACTTTGAATTTTCTGTTTGAGAACAGCTGATCAGAGTAAATTTAATCAACTTAGAGTATGTTCACCTTGTTCACCTGCGTGCGTGAGTAAAAGCCGTCGTCAGTGGAGCTCTATATATGTTATTTTATGACGTCTGTTGTCATCATTTACTCAAATTTTCGTTAAGCTAATTATTCAGCTGTAACCTGACAGGAGCGAGATATGGGAGCCTGACGATCTGGAAAAGAGATCAGACACAGTTAGCTTGTCACCTTCTATTTTTAAATTGAGTCGGTTTTGTTAAATTACTGTTGTGTGTTTCATGGAGGAAGCCATAGTGATGCAGTGGTTAGCAGTGTTACCTCACAGCAAGAAGTTTCATACCCTGCTGCAGTCTTTTTGTTTGGAGTTTGCATATTCTTCCTGTGTCTTTGTGGGCTCTCTTCTACTAATCCAGCTTCCTCCTACAGTACAATGACATCAATGTTACTGTGATTGGTCATTATAAAATGATCATAGGCATGAAAGTGAGTGTAAGTGATTGTTAGCCATTTACAATGGACTGGGCTAAAATACATGTAAAGGGAGTCTGCTCAAGTTTTTATTTTTCCTTTTTCAGTTTGTAAAATTCTGTGTTGATGTTGATGTTTAAGAGTCGGTGATGTTTAAGGCTTTCCAACGATCCAATTCTGTTTGTGATCTGTAAATTAAAAGAAATTATAAAGCATGCTATAACCGGCCTCTAGTCACATACATAAAATGCGATGTCAATTTTGGCTACTGTATTGGCTACAGTGGCAACATGGCTGAGCTTTTTACAACCATGTTATCATAACTATGTAACTGCTCTAATGCACTGATACACAGCCTTTAATTAGGTCTAAACACAGGCTGTGTGCAGTGGAGAAGGTTATGAGTCCAGTCCAGTCTATTGTTCAGATGAACACCAAGGTACCTGTAGCTGTCCACAGCCTCAATGTCCATACCTTGGATGTTCAGTGGTTGCAGTGGAGAATGCTTGTGCCTGCGGAAGTCTACCACCAGTTCCTTGGTTTTACTGGCGTTGATCTGGAGGTAGTTCAGCTGGCACCAGTCCACAAAGTCTTGGGTCAGACCTCTGTACTCCTTGTCGTCCCCATCAGTGATGAGGACGACTATTGCAGAGTCATCAGAGAACTTCTGCAGGAAGCACTGGGTGGAATTGTGGGAGAAGTCTGCAGTGTAGATGGTGAAGAGGAACAGAGCCAGAACCGTTCCCTGTGGGGCCCCCGTACTGCAGACGACCCTGTCCGACACACAGCCCTGAGTCCTCACATACTGTGGTCGGTCGGTGAGGTAGTCCAGGATCCAGGTAGTGAGGTGATGGTCCACTCCAGAGTTCACCAGCTTGTCCTTTAGAACCGAGGGAAGAATAGTGTTGAAGGCACTGGAGAAATCAAAGAACATGATTCTCACAGTGCTCCCAGCGGTCTCCAGCTGAGCGAGGGAACGATGTAGAAGGTGAATGACGGCATCATCCGCTCCAATGCCAGGCTGGTAGGCAAACTGAAGTGGGTCCAGTGATGAGCTTATTAGGCGCCGAAGCTGAGCCAGGACCAACCGCTCCAGGGTCTTCATCAGGTGGGATGTCAGAGCCACTGGCCTGTAGCTGTTGAGGTCCTTGGGGCGTGAAGTCTTTGGCACTGGTACAACACAGGAGGTTTTCCAGAGCTGTGGGACTCTTCTTATGTTAATGCTCTGAAGTGTGATGTGCAAAAATAGCAGCACTCTTACAAATCGAAAAGCAGTCTTGTAGACAGTGTGAGGACAGGTCTCCAGTAGACCCACATGGACTGATTCTTATATTCCGGAGTACTCAAAGCGCTGTACACAACATGCCTCATTCACCCCATTCACACCCACTCATACAAGCACTTCTAAACACAAGTGCAAACTAACCAACATTCACACTCCGATGAACGCTTGGGGAACTTGGGGTTGTGCCCAAGGATATTTGGGCCCATGCAGACTGGGGAAGCCAAGGATCGAACCACCAACCTTCCAATCAGTAGCTGATCTGCTCCACCACCTGAGCCACCCCTGGCTTGAAAAACCTGTAGAAAGTGAAAGCTTCTTCTGTTTAGATCCTATTGACACAAGCTCGCTTTTAATCATCTTGGCTTGAACTAAACAGTAAATGAGTTTGCTCACTGCTGATGTCTGCCAATTTTTTGTGACAAAAAGAAGGGCTGAATTCCACAACTTCAGAGAAATTAATGTGAAACTGAGACATCCAGCCATGCCTATGCTTATAGCAACTGACTCTTTTTAGTGAGGTTAATTCATTTCTTTTATTTTGGTTTCTAGTTTTGATGTATTTTTTGTTTCCCTAGGTTGGAATGAAAGTAGATACTTATTATTTGGTAATTAGTGAATACCCTTTGATACCTTGTTGTGTCCTAAATGTTATGCAACCATCTACCACGAGATGGAGCATTGTTGTAGGAATTAGACTAGCTGTCGTTTGGATTTTACAAGGAGGATGTCGAACAATTTGCAAATTTGCAAAACCTGTCGTAAAACTATTGCTGTTAAAGGTTGCAGTACAAGAAATTTATTCCACTGGAAAAATTACGACTGTTTTCAACTCTGCATGTCAATGTCTTTCCGCATACCAAAGAAAATTTTAAATAAAACCAGCTCTGTTACCTGTGACTGTTCTTCGTCAGTTGTTTTTTTTGGCACTATCCATCTTCATGGATACAAGGTCAAGGTCAAGGTCAAATTTATTTATATAGCACATTTCCAACAGTCTATGCTGCACAAAGTGCTTAACAATAACAATAAAATTAAAAACAACAATGTAATACAATAATAACAATAGAAACAATAAAATAAAGGATACAAGCAGTGGAAATGAGATTTCTGTGAAAGGTGGATGGGCTTTCCCTTCGTGACGGGCTGAGTTCAGTTAGTCAAGAGAGGCTCAGAGTAGAGCCGCTGCTCGTCTACATCAAAATGAGTCAGCTGAGGTGGGCGCCTCTTGGATAAAGTATTCCAATTAGTCATGTCCTAGTGAGACGAGGCTCCGGAGGAGACCCCTGACTAGACCCAGAGAATATATATACTGGATGGCCTGGGAGTGCTTCGATGTTTCTTTGGATAAGCTGGAGGAGGTCGCTGACAAGTTGAAGGTCTGGGCTTTCCTGCTTGTCTGGGATTTATGGTCCTGTAAATTTATGACCATCTGCGTACATTTTTTGGTTGGACAGAGGAGGGGAGAGGTGGTTTTCACCGATGTGAGAAGAGCTGGCATGCAGTCCTTCAAGATCTTGACTGCACAGATGTCCGAGTGACATCTGTTGTCAGATGAAGGCAGTGTACAAAGTATGTGCTACAGCTGGTCTGTGGGCAGCTCTTGCTTACGGTTTTGTTGGTCCGTAAGCCACCCGCAGAAAAGAACGAAGTCATAACATACAAAGAGCTGAATTGAAGCAGAGTGTTAAAAATAATAAGAAGTGTCTGCTGCATCCACTATCTGTGCTTTTCAGTCTTTAAATTGTTGGTCTTAGAAGTTTTTTTTGCCATTCTCCTCTTCCCGGGAACTCAGCTATGCGTCATGAAATATTAGATACGTTTACACCGGCAGGACACTGGTGGGACAGGGCACTGGAACATGTGTAAGGCAACATCAAGCATGCCCACAAAACGACACCCATCCCCTACCTGGGACTCTGCTCCTGCTGAAACGCATCCAGTCGTCAGGTCTGCCAATCCCCATGCTAACAGTCTCTAGCTTTTAAAGAGCCAGTTTTAGCTTTAGTTTCAAAAGATTTGCATCAATAATGATCAGACCATGGTCATACAGAAAATTACAAATTTACAAAAGCAAAGAAGTAAAAACCATTTTATTTTATTTTCCGAAAAATACTTTGCATTCACGAACCTCTTCGTGGTTTCTTAATTTCTTTATGTGAGAGAATGATGAAGAGTTGCAAAATGAGACAAGCTCACTCTATCTATCTATATTTCTTTATGTCATAAAATAAAATAAATTATTGACCACTTTGACAAGTACAGTTACAGGTCAAGTACAGTGGATAGAAACATTGTCAATTTTTTTTTCTCTAATGAAGAGCACAAGCATGTGGCTGCTCGATGAGGGAATCCAGAAATGCGCTTCAATGAAAAGACAATTACAGACTTGAATCTTTTTTATTTTATTTTATTTTTTTAGGTGGTATGTCCTCTCCACTTAATCCCTTAAAGCTGGCTTGGCCAACTCGAGGCCTCGAGGGCCGGTGTCGTGCAGGTTTTAGATCTCACCCTGGGTCTACACAGCAGGACACCGGCCCTTTGAGGCCTGGGTTTGGACACCACAGCCTCAAAGGGAAATCAGTACAAAGTTGTTCTGAGTGATCGTCTTTGTCCTGTAATCAAACATTTCTGTCATGCTGACCTCACACGTGGGGCCATTGAAAGGTTTGATGTAATGAAATGATGTTAACCAAATCCAGTAGTAAGTACCTATTAAAGTACTCGGAAAACTTAAGTGATCTTTTAATCAGTTTTTGGTCTGTCTGTCTGCAGGGATGCACACGTCAGTGCGTGAAATTAATCTCTGCTCAGACACCTCCTACTTCCTGCGGGTGGACTGGGAAGGGTGCAACTTTAGTACCGGCTTCCAGTTGCTGCTTACTGATGGACAAGATGCATGGAGAGGGGAAGGTAAAAACAAAAATCACTCAGCATGACTTCGCAGTTTATTACCTTATATTATACACTCTTACCTCTTTTACATCACATGCCATTTTTATACACAGTCCTCAGTTTTCAGAGGCTCAAGATAAACTTCAAAGGCTTAAAGTCCTTTGAGATAAATGTTGCCTGGGACATTGGAAATTGGTACCAATTTCACTGAGCAACTGCTGGCAACCTCCAGTAACCGCCTGCTAATCATTCCTGAAAATACATTTTTCCTTATCAACCGGTGGTTACCAAATGGTCACTAATGGGCTTCTGGGCCTGTGTGACGGGGCCAAGTTGTTTTCTGCTGTTCTGGTGTAGCTGACTTGGCCATTCTGAAAGTTTTTGCTATATCTTTGATAGATGAATTTAGTTTGTTCTTCAGAAAGCTGCTGCACGCTAAGCTGAAAATTAGTTTAGAAAATGCTAAATGCAAAAAATAAAGACAAAGAATGTTTTGTTGCAAGCTCAGTAATTCAGACAAAAATCCTTGATACCATTTATCTAGACCCAAGTGACTTCTTCCGTCTCTACAGTCTGAATCTGAAGAGGGTCAAGAAGTCAGTTGGATGAGTGATGACTAAAAACCAGATGACTACAAACCACTGAAAACCGCTGTATTCAGAGGAACTGAATGACCTTTTTGGTTGATTCAGTTCAGAAACTAACGATTCTTGAAATATATGTGAAACTTAAATCAGTAATTTGTAACATGATTTGAGGGATAGCTGTAGCTCAGGATGTAGGACAGGTCATCTACTAATGGGAAAGTTGGTGGTTCTGGGATGTACACAGTGCTTAGTAAATGTATTAAATCAACACACAGTGCAACGTTTATATCAATCAATCAATCAATCAATCTTTATTTATAAAGCACTTTTCATACAGAGAAAATGTAGCACAAAGTGCTTTACATAGTTAAAAGCAGCCCACCCCACCCTCCAACTCACTCCCCACACTCTCAATACACATATATCCCCCCACCCCCACCCACACACACGCGCACACTTAAAGAGTAAAAATTGGGCTGGGCTTGCATGAGCCAAGTGAGGAAACACTATAACAGGGAGCCGTCTGCACCGGGAGCCGGTCACAGACTGCAGCCTCCAGGCTGGGCACACAGCAGGGGGGAGGCAAAGAAGCCCCCCAGCCAGGCTGAGAAGACCCGCAGAGCCCCAGCAGCCACGGTCGATCACAGCCCCTGTGCAGAGAGCCCTCTCCAAGGAAACACTGGAGATATGACACAATAAGAATATATACAGGATAAAAAGATAAAATAAATAAGAATGGGATACAGTATAAATATGAATAAAGTAAGAAGATAAAAAATGAATAAGGATAAAATCAATAAATATTAGGTAAAACCTAAATTAATAATATAAATAGAATAACAGGATAGAATAAATAAGCATAAAAAATAAATAAACTTTAGGTAAAAGCTAAATTAAAAATGAGGAAAGGCAGCCCAGAAGCTTTAACAGCAGCCTCAACTTTTGGTCTTGTACCCAAGCTAATCTGATGTTTTTGGGGGGATTAGAGATCTGATCTAGATTATCATATTAAGATTTGGGACGCTGTGACAGAGCTGACGCCTGATTGGAGCAGCACAGGGTTGGTCTTCTGGCTGTGGATTGGTTCGTCAGGATTTCCTCCTTTACAGGTTTAAAAACAATCTCTGTTTCTACATTTTTTGACCTCCTTCTTGTGTGTACACATGAAGCAGCACCAGCCTCCTCTGATCCTCATGTTGTAGCTCTGTGTGTCCAGCAGGGGGCAGAACACCTCCAAACTGTGCCAGCAGCTCTCACTGTGAGCTCAGACGTTTGTGGACACTCAGTTTGTTTGAACATAGTAAATAATCAGAGCTTCAAATAAAATTTGATGGCAAATAATCGAAATTTGCCAGGGCACCACGGCCACGCCCGTTGACAAAAACTCAAATGATCTACAATTCAATATTGCCTAGGTCTGCAGTTTAGACTGACCAAATGTGAAGTTCATCTGATAAAACCCTAGGGAGAAGTTCTCGAAAGTACAACAACTGGAAATGGTCAAAGCTGTGCCAAAACTCGAAGTGGCGGTCTTTCTGTTGGCTTTGGGACATGGGTCTATCGGACCCATGGATTTGCATGTTACACACGTGTACCAAATTTCATACAACTATGTGAAACCCAGCACGGGGACGTAATTTTTCCTCACTGTGCAGGGGGGTTTTCCGAGCCATTTTGCCCCACCCATGTCTGAAACAAAAATAATAATAAAATTTTCACCAGACTTGACACGTGTGCAATATTTCATGAGTTTTTAAATATGTTAAACCCCCCAAAAAGCCCCTTCATTTGCTTTAATAATTACAATAATGAATGGAGTGATTACAATAAGGCTTGGCCCTGAATGATTTTATAATTAATGTAACCAAAATTGGATTTTATCATCTAAAAAATATAGCCAGAGTCCGCCCTATTCTCTCTCGGGCCAACACGGAGATGCTGATGCATGCTTTTATTACCAGTCGCATTGATTACTGTAATGCCCTGCTCTCTGGTCTTCCTAAGAAGAATATTTCAACTTTACAACTCTTGCAAAACTCGGCAGCTCGTGTGCTGACGAAGACCAGAGGGCGGGCCCACATTACACCGGTTTTAGAATCGCTGCACTGGCTCCCCGTGTGTTTCAGGATCGATTTTAAAGTTCTTTTATTGGTTTTTAAATGTCTTAATGGTCTTGGGCCTTCTTATCTCTCAGATCTGCTTTTACCATACGAACCCTCGCGGACCCTGAGGTCCTCTGGTGCTGGCCTTTTGATTGTCCCTAAAGTCAGGACACATACTCACAGAGGCAGCTTTTCATGTTGGCCTCGTCTGTGGAACAGCCTGCCGGAGGAGCTCAGGGCCGCAGAGAACGTACATGTTTTTAAGAACAGGCTCAAGACCCACCTTTTTAATTTAGCTTTTACTTAACGTTTATTTATTTTATGCTTATTTATTCTATCCTGTTATTCTATTATTTATATTTAGGTTTTACCTAATATTTATTGATTTTATTCTTATTCATTTTTTATCTTCTTACTCTATTTATATTTATACTGTATCCTTTCTTATTTATTTTATCTTTTTATCCTTATATATCCGTATTGTCATATCTCCAGTGTTTCCTCGGAGGGGGCTCTCTGCACCGGGGCTGTGATCGACCGTGGCTGCTGGGGTCTCTGTGGGTCCTCTCAGCCTGGCTGGGGGGCTTCTTTGCCTCCCTCCTGCTGTGTGCCCAGCCTGGAGGCTGCAGGTCTGTGACCGGCTCCCGGTGCAGACGGCTCCCTGTTATAGTGTTTCCTCACTTGGCTCATGCGAACCCAGCCCAATTTTTACTTTTATATGTTTAGTGTGGTGTGTGTGGTCGCGTGTGTGTGTGGTGGGTGTGGGTGTGTGACTATTGTCGTATTCGTAGATGTGACGTGAGTGGAGGGTGGGGTGGGCTGCTTTTAACCATGTAAAGCACTTTGTGCTACATTGTTGTATGAAAAGTGCTTTATAATAAAGATTGATTGATTGATTGATTGATTAAACTCCAGCACTGTGTGTTGATTTAATACATTTACTAAGCACTGTGTACATCCCAGAACCACCAACTTTCCCATTAGTAGATGACCTGTCCTACATCCTGAGCTACAGCTATCCCTCAAATCATGTTACAAATTACTGATTTAAGTTTCACATATATTTCAAGAATCGTTAGTTTCTGAACTGAATCAACCAAAAAGGTCATTCAGTTCCTCTGAATACAGCGGTTTTCAGTGGTTTGTAGTCATCTGGTTTTTAGTCATCACTCATCCAACTGACTTCTTGACCCTCTTCAGATTCAGACTGTAGAGACGGAAGAAGTCACTTGGGTCTAGATAAATGGTATCAAGGATTTTTGTCTGAATTACTGAGCTTGCAACAAAACATTCTTTGTCTTTATTTTTTGCATTTAGCATTTTCTAAACTAATTTTCAGCTTAGCGTGCAGCAGCTTTCTGAAGAACAAACTAAATTCATCTATCAAAGATATAGCAAAAACTTTCAGAATGGCCAAGTCAGCTACACCAGAACAGCAGAAAACAACTTGGCCCCGTCACACAGGCCCAGAAGCCCATTAGTGACCATTTGGTAACCACCGGTTGATAAGGAAAAATGTATTTTCAGGAATGATTAGCAGGCGGTTACTGGAGGTTGCCAGCAGTTGCTCAGTGAAATTGGTACCAATTTCCAATGTCCCAGGCAACATTTATCTCAAAGGACTTTAAGCCTTTGAAGTTTATCTTGAGCCTCTGAAAACTGAGGACTGTGTATAAAAATGGCATGTGATGTAAAAGAGGTAAGAGTGTATAATATAAGGTAATAAACTGCGAAGTCATGCTGAGTGATTTTTGTTTTTACCTTCCCCTCTCCATGCATCTTGTCCATCAGTAAGCAGCAACTGGAAGCCGGTACTAAAGTTGCACCCTTCCCAGTCCACCCGCAGGAAGTAGGAGGTGTCTGAGCAGAGATTAATTTCACGCACTGACGTGTGCATCCCTGCAGACAGACAGACCAAAAACTGATTAAAAGATCACTTAAGTTTTCCGAGTACTTTAATAGGTACTTACTACTGGATTTGGTTAACATCATTTCATTACATCAAACCTTTCAATGGCCCCACGTGTGAGGTCAGCATGACAGAAATGTTTGATTACAGGACAAAGACGATCACTCAGAACAACTTTGTACTGATTTCCCTTTGAGGCTGTGGTGTCCAAACCCAGGCCTCAAAGGGCCGGAGTCCTGCTGTGTAGACCCAGGGTGAGATCTAAAACCTGCACGACACTGGCCCTCGAGGCCTCGAGTTGGCCAAGCCAGCTTTAAGGGATTAAGTGGAGAGGACATACCACCTAAAAAAATAAAATAAAATAAAAAAGATTCAAGTCTGTAATTGTCTTTTCATTGAAGCGCATTTCTGGATTCCCTCATCGAGCAGCCACATGCTTGTGCTCTTCATTAGAGAAAAAAAAATTGACAATGTTTCTATCCACTGTACTTGACCTGTAACTGTACTTGTCAAAGTGGTCAATAATTTATTTTATTTTATGACATAAAGAAATATAGATAGATAGAGTGAGCTTGTCTCATTTTGCAACTCTTCATCATTCTCTCACATAAAGAAATTAAGAAACCACGAAGAGGTTCGTGAATGCAAAGTATTTTTCGGAAAATAAAATAAAATGGTTTTTACTTCTTTGCTTTTGTAAATTTGTAATTTTCTGTATGACCATGGTCTGATCATTATTGATGTAAATCTTTTGAAACTAAAGCTAAAACTGGCTCTTTAAAAGCTAGAGACTGTTAGCATGGGGATTGGCAGACCTGACGACTGGATGCGTTTCAGCAGGAGCAGAGTCCCAGGTAGGGGATGGGTGTCGTTTTGTGGGCATGCTTGATGTTGCCTTACACATGTTCCAGTGCCCTGTCCCACCAGTGTCCTGCCGGTGTAAACGTATCTAATATTTCATGACGCATAGCTGAGTTCCCGGGAAGAGGAGAATGGCAAAAAAAACTTCTAAGACCAACAATTTAAAGACTGAAAAGCACAGATAGTGGATGCAGCAGACACTTCTTATTATTTTTAACACTCTGCTTCAATTCAGCTCTTTGTATGTTATGACTTCGTTCTTTTCTGCGGGTGGCTTACGGACCAACAAAACCGTAAGCAAGAGCTGCCCACAGACCAGCTGTAGCACATACTTTGTACACTGCCTTCATCTGACAACAGATGTCACTCGGACATCTGTGCAGTCAAGATCTTGAAGGACTGCATGCCAGCTCTTCTCACATCGGTGAAAACCACCTCTCCCCTCCTCTGTCCAACCAAAAAATGTACGCAGATGGTCATAAATTTACAGGACCATAAATCCCAGACAAGCAGGAAAGCCCAGACCTTCAACTTGTCAGCGACCTCCTCCAGCTTATCCAAAGAAACATCGAAGCACTCCCAGGCCATCCAGTATATATATTCTCTGGGTCTAGTCAGGGGTCTCCTCCGGAGCCTCGTCTCACTAGGACATGACTAATTGGAATACTTTATCCAAGAGGCGCCCACCTCAGCTGACTCATTTTGATGTAGACGAGCAGCGGCTCTACTCTGAGCCTCTCTTGACTAACTGAACTCAGCCCGTCACGAAGGGAAAGCCCATCCACCTTTCACAGAAATCTCATTTCCACTGCTTGTATCCTTTATTTTATTGTTTCAATTTTATTA